GGATGGATGGATGGATGGATGGATGGATGGATGGATGGATGGATGGATGGATGGATGGATGGATGGATGGATGGATGGATGGATGGATGGATGGATGGATGGATGGATGGATGGAACAAGCAGCAACTTCCCAGATCTCTCTAATGTGTCTCCTCTCTCTGGTTCTGATGTACGGACTTCTGAAGCAGCGCAGACTGATTTTTACAACTCTCTTTACTAAGAAACACTTCATGTTTACCAGTGGGAGGCCATAACAGTTATTGATCTGTTGCCTACTCATTGTTTCATCGACATTCCCATTGCGGAAATGTGTGTCAGAAGTATCATCCATAGTGTGTTCCATGAACTGGTGTGCTCCAGTCCTTGCCTCACCCACCTCCTGGGACTGGAGTCAACACCAGAGCAGGTTATCAGACTACTACAGATGAGACTGTCTCTGTCTAGCAGGGCTTCAGATGCTCACTGTGGACATGAAACCATCATGCAGGCCGGTTTAATTCACGTCGTAGCGCAGGAATAACAAACCCCGAATTCCAGCTTTTCCTTTGATTTGGAAACAACTGACTGAGCCGCCTGTCGTCATAAATAAGCCTCTGTGTGACAGCGACAGAGGGAATATTTTTATAGCATCTCAAAGAGGTGGATGGAGGAAGGAGGGGTGACCTGGGATTGAACCTGTGACTCTGTTTGTCATCTGCCAGGCTTTCCGTGGAAGCTGTAAACAGGGTGGTGTGATGGTCGTGCTCAGACTGAGTTCAATTCAATTCAATTCAAAGATACTTTATTAATCCCAGAGGGAAATTAGAGTTTCAGTACACACAATTCTGAGATCAGACATACATACATACATAGACACATGACAAGAATTGGTGACTGTGGACATTCACAACCCGAGTCGCGCTACCTTAATAGAGATCAGAGGGTTTATATGAGGATAGAGTCAGGTGGAGGGAAAAAAGGCACTTCAGAGTTACCCTCCACAGGGAGGGCAGCTTTGCTATGCAAACAACACCTCAGACAGAATTCCAACAGACTTCAGACATCACACAACATAAGTGTCCACTAGGTGGGGTGGTAGGGTTGGGGACTCTCCTCACGTCAGTTCCTGCAGCCACGATAAGCAGCGCACGTCACCTCAGTCTGGACAGGGGAGGGAGGTTGTTGGGGTTTAGAGGGCACAGTGACTCCTGGAACGATTCAGCAGCCTTCACCGGTCGCAGTCCCGCCCAGGCTGGGATAGGGAGACAGAGTTGCCATGGCGATGGCAGCATCCCACATTTTTTCTGAGGGGGGAGTATTCGTTGCAGCCTCATGGGCTCAAGGGCACCAGATTCAGATTAGAAACTGTTTTGGGGCCAGACAGAGATAATTTCCTCTCTGTCTTAAAGTTCTGTTGATCCTCAACCTCTCAAAATCCCAATAATTGCGTAAATTAATCTATCCCAATGCGTGCTGATTTGTCCACTTGCTCCTTGATAGCATCCATCTTTTGTGCCAAAGCATGAATCTCAGCCAAAGTTCCAAGCTTACGACTCATCTCGACAATCATATGAGTTTGTGAATTCACAGCGAGGTGTAATCCATCCCTGAGCTCCGGGATTGAGCCAATATTCCTCGACAGCTCGTTAATTTTCCGGTAAGCCAGGTAACCTCCCAGGCCAAAAAGCAGGAAGCCTGACACCAACACCATGAATATCCAGACGTCTTCAGAATCCTCTACAGACAGCTGAGATAGCTGCTTCTGACTTCTGACAGGTTTTGTTGAGAATCCGTCACTCTGACACTTTCTACAAGGAGGACTTGGATTCACTTTAGACTCGATTTTATAACTCATCCCACCGAACTAAGGCGTTCTGTCTAAACTGCTTGCAGTCAGATCATATCTGTCCCTCTACTGTTGGGGTTCTGACTTGGTTCACAGTTTGTCGGCACTCTGGGGGCCCCAAGCAATTGCCTGCCCTGCCTGTCAGCACGCAGCGTCTCTGTGGTGAACTGATGTCCAGCAGTCACTAGGTGCGAGGCGGGGTCACTCTGGACCTCATGAACGCCTGAAGGGATAAACAAACCTTCAACTGATTAACTTTGGTGTCACCCAAAGATGGCTGCCACAGCTAATTAGCCTCAGCTAATTTGAGCTAAATTGTTAACATGCTGAATGCTAACAGTAGTTGAACATAGCTGTGGTGATGAGCTCAAAGGTTGAATGTGGAGCACAAACACGAAAGCGCCTACTAGTGTGTGGAGGTTGTAGTTGCAACAAAAGAACAAGGTCAGGCCGGGTTTGCTTCTGATACGTGAAGTGACCAGCCAGCACCATGTCCACGGACGAAACACACAGGGTAAGAGCTCATTTCTACTAATACGTTTATTTTTAAACAGTATTTAGCAGAGGTGTGGACTCGAGTCATTATTTTAATGACTTCTGACTCAACTTGATAAAATCTATAAAGACTTACGACTTGACTCTGACTCTAACGCCAAGGACTTGTGACACTTTGTTTATAATCAGTTTCAGATGCACTTTCTGCTTGTTTGAGCAAAAAAATTAAGCTTTAAGAAGCTTTAATTCTGGAATTTATCTATCATCACCGTCATTAAATTGAAGTTGGACAGATGACTTGATCATGACTTAAAAATTCAAAGTTAAGAACTTGGCCATGACTTGGACTTCCACATCATTGATATAGGAGACATATGCATGTTTATGGGTGTGTTTTTGGTGGGTTTATTTGTTGTAAACGGAGATCGGTGTCAGGTCAGGTGATCATGGGTGGGGATTTAACCTCATCTCCAGCACCTGCTCAGATAATATGGGAAAAGGAGGAGCGGGTGAGCGGGTTGCCGCATATTTTTGTTGACCGTCAGCTGATCGCTGTGATAATTGTACTGTTTGATTTTGAGCACGTTATGTTTCGAGTTAATTGGAGTTACTTTAATAAAATTTTTGGAATCGCAGCTGATGTTTGTGAAGAGCGCGTCACGCTGGCCCGACTCAGCCTCTCAAGCGGCTTTTCGTTTGCCTCTGAAGTCGCGGAAGTAATTGACTTTGGACTCGACTTTGTTGTTTTTGACTTTGACTTGACTCGAGACTTGACTGGAAAGACTTGTGACTTACTTGTGACTTGCAAAGCAGTGACTTGGTCACACCTTTGTTATTTATTGTCCTGGGCTCAGAAGCAGCTGCTTGACCAGCCGAGTCCGCCATTTTCCACAGTGCCAGCCTCTCTGTGTGGTTGGAAGTGCACACCGGTGCCCTCTACTGGCTGGTAGGTGTAAACATAAACCCTGTACCTTCATTCTGCACACCTCTAAACGCCCCATGGAGGTATTTTTTATGTAGCCTTTTATTATGTTGCTCCACATTCAACCTTTAAGCTACTCAAATCACTTCAATGAAAACTTGTAGGCTTTTGATTTTAATAATAATAATAATAATAATAATAATAATGCATTTTATTTAAAAGCACCTTTCAAGGGACAGAAGGACACTTTACAACAATAAAATAACAACAAAGGAACCAAGTTAAAAACTGCAAAATCACACACAGAAGGCTAAAAATACAAACTAGATAATAAAATCAACGAAGATGGAAAAGGTGACACTAGCAGCATGCAGTCTGAAACAGGTGGGTTTTGAGTCTAGATTTAAAGGAGGAGAGCGAGTCGGAGTTATGGATGGCATGAGGGAGAGAATTCCAGAGACGGGGAATTGTGCACATTAGCATGTAAAGAAGAGGTGAGGTAAAACCAAAACAACAGTTTGGTCTGTAAAGTAGATCAGATCTAATAGGTTACCAGTGGGTTGATTTTATGTTATGTTGCTGAAACATCACGCATTACAGGACCAAACCAGATCAAACTAAATGACTTACTCTTGAGCTGATGTCTCAAATGAGTGTAAAACACAGATTTCTGTCCAAATATCAAATCAGCGTTTAGTAATAAACATTTATAGAGCAGACGAGTTTACAGTGCAGTCTGACCAATATGCGGGGGGGGGGGGGGGGGGGGGGGGGGGGGTAACTGTAGAGTGAAGGTACAGCTGCACATATCCAAACAACCTCTTTACCTGCACACACACACACACACACACACACACACACACACACACACACAGGTGCACACACCAACATTCACTCAATGATAGCCACGCATGTGCACAAATTAGCACAGTAATGCACACAAACTAACTTACATCAGTAATGCAGAGCGTGCACGCACGCACACACACACACACACACACACACACACACACACCCTCCACAGCAGGTAATTAGTCTTTGTCTCCCTGATTTCCTGTATCATCTCTAATGTGGGGGCCTGGGGCCTTGTTCTGTGAGCTCAGCAACTTTCTAGCTGCATCAAACCCCCAGAGCTTCCAGAGAGAGGAAAAACATGAAAATATCACCTCTTGTGTAGCAAACAGTGTGAGTCAAAAGAGCTCCAGCAAGGCTGCTGAGGGAATAACTGTGGATGTGCCACCAGGATCGACAGAATGACGAGTTTTCCCTGTTTTCCCCACTCACGTCCCTCCAACTCTCATGTGGGTGAGAGACGTAAGTCTCCACTGGCCTCGTGTTCTCCTGGAGTTTAAAGGGCTGGATGATCATCTGTGATGATGGCTAACCAGGTCGAAAAGGAAACACCATGTGGAACGTCAAGCAGTTTCTCTGTTTTTTTAAAGCAGACTGGCACACAGCGGGACTTCGGAACACCGTGTCCACACCTGTGGAGCATGACGAAAGAGCTGTAGTAGCGTCGACTAGGGATGCTTCTATCCTGTCACATGATCACAAATCAGGTGGAGAAAGATCGGATGTAACTTTATAAAATAACAGGAATGATCTTTTAAATTCATCTTGAAGAGAAATGTTCAAATATAATAACAAAGGATCAGTTTTCACCTTAACCAAGTTCCACTTCATCAGCATCAAAGATCCTTCTGATTGTGTGTGTGTGTGTGTGTGTGTGTGTGTGTGTGTGTGTGTGTGCCTGTTCAGCAGCTCTCTAAACAGGAAGCAAGCTCAACGGCATGACGAGAAGCTCCTCCCACCCCTGCTGTCCCCGCTGTCTGATGAACCTCCTCGCAAGCGAACCTGTCACAGCAGCTCTTCTCTCAGCGAGGAGGGCAGCGCCATCGGAGTGCTGCCCTGTCCCACATCGTCCTCTTCCACCTCCTCTTCCTCACACAGACACCGGAGAGGGGACGGAAAGGCTTCGGCACATGTGAGGAGTGGGACCGTAAGTGTTGTTCCCTACTATGTACTATGGATGATCACAAATATTCAACATGTTCCATACATATATATATATATATGTACATATATATATATATATATATGTACATATATATATATATATATATATGTACATATATATATATATATATATGTATATATATATATATATATATATATATATATGTACATATATATATATATATATATATATATATGTACATATATATATATATGTACATATATATATATATATATATATATGTACATATATATATATATATATGTACATATATATATATATATATATATATATATATATGTACATATATATATATATATATGTACATATATATACATATATATATATATATGTACATATATATATATATGTACATATATATATACATATATATATATATGTACATATATATATATATATATATATATATATATGTACATATATATATATATATATATATATGTACATATATATATATATATATATGTATATATATATATATGTACATATATATATATATATACATATATATATATATGTACATATATATATATATACATATATATATATATATGTACATATATATATATATATATGTACATATATATATATATATATATATATATATATATATATATATATATATATACATGTACATATATATATATATATATATATGTACATATATATATATATATGTACATATATATATATATATATGTACATATATATATATATATATGTACATATATATATATATATATATATATGTACATATATATATATATATATATGTACATATATATATATATATATATATATATATATATATATATATATGTACATATATATATATATATATATATGTACATATATATATATATATATATATATATATATATATGTACATATATATATATATATATATATATATATATATATATATGTATATATATATATGTATGGAACATGTTGAATATTTGTGATCATCCATAGTAATCATCCTCCATCCATCTCTTCCGCTTCTCCGGCGTAGGGTCGCGGGGGCAGTAGCCTAAGCAGAGAGGGCCAGAGAGAGACATAGACTCTCCAGCGTGTCTTGGGTCTGTCTTCAGGTCTCCTGTCATTTGGATTTATCCAGAAAACCTCATCATGGGGGCGTTCTACGTGGATGCCCGAGCCACCTCAGCTTTCTCCTGTCGATGTGGAGGAGCAGCGGGTCTACTCTGAGCCCCTCCTGGATGACCCAGCTTCTCACCCTATCTCTTAGGGGAAAACACTCATTTCTCGTTCTTTCGGTCACTACCCAAAGCTTGTGACCCTGGGGGAGGGTAGGAACATAGATCGACCAGTAAATCGAGAGCTTCACCTTCCAGGTCAGCTCTCTCTTCACCTTGACAGAACATCACTGCAGACGCAGCACCAATCCGCCTGTCGATCTCCCTCTCCATCTCTCCCTCGCTCATGAACAAGACCCCGAGATACTTAAACTCCTCCACTTGAAGCAGGACCTCATCCCTGACCCAGAGAAGGCATTCTACCTTTTTCCAACTCTTCCAATCATCCAAAAGAAGATCTAAAAGCACAAAAGCAGCAAACTTTGTAAAAACCAATTCGTCGTTCCTTGTTCTTCTGGCCACAGCTGGAATCCACACATCTGTAGAGGAACGCAACACGGTGTAGGGAGAGAGTGAGTGGGGTGTGGTTAGAGGTGACCATGTTCTTCCACCAGCCATCACAGTGAATCCATCCCTGACCCTGAGCACAGCAGTAGCATCTAACATGCTGCGGGTTTTTTCTTGAGCTAAAAGGATTAAAACCGTAAGTTTCATTACAATCTCTACTTTTAGGAGACGGAGCCTCGTGGCGATAAACCACATGGAGACGGTTACCGTGCCAACGGTCACTCTGGCTCTGAGGTGTGGCCAGAGACACAGACTGATCCCGCAGAAGCACGCAGGCCGAGGCTGACGTTCACGGACACGTATGTAGAAACACTCGTCAGCGTGGAGTTGTGTGTTCGGAATACTGTTTAAAATCTTTTCATGGGTCCAAAACCTGAACACAGGAGTTACCCAGAGAACGGAGTCTCCAAACATGGAAAACCATTTATTTTGTTTTAGTTACATTTCAACAATTTAGTCAGCGTGAATATTAAACAAATATCACCAAACAATTCAACGGAACGTTAAAAATCTGCCTGTAAGCCATTTTTCTGTCTTCGTGTCAAATAAAGTGGTTTATTGAAGTGTTTTGTAGAAGATAAAGAAACCGTCATTTTAGTCAAATAAAAACATTTCAGATACAACCTTTAAATGTATTTTATATAGAATATCAAGTATTGTATTAAACAGTTGTTTTCTATAATACGAGTGACATGTGATCCTGATGATGTTGTTTTTTAGTTCTTTAGCTTTTAGCGGCTTCAACACAAGCTTTGCTGACCACGTTTATCATTTTTTGGTCATTAGGACTCAACAGGTGTGTTTTCTTATTATACCTGAACATCTTTAATAAACTCAGCCACTAGCCGAAAGAGAAGCTAACGCTATCCCACTTCTGATGAGGTTGTCAACGATTTCCTCACAATTCTCGTCAACGATGCAACGGTAAATCTGCTAAGCTAGCTAGCTTCCAAACACGGCCCCAGAACTCTCACCCTTCCCGTCGGCCATCATCTTTAGGCCTCGTCCGCCTGATACTGAAACCCGCATTGCCACAGTAAACGGGATGGAGCTAAACACCAGTCGCCGTTTTAAACATCCAAACGTCCTTTGTCGTCCGTGACTTCGAATGGCGATTTTCTTTTTGGGCCTCTGGTAGTTAGTTCTAATGTTGAAGCGGTAGCAGCTGGCTGTTTCTCCTTCTCTGATGTTATGGAGCGGAGAATGTCTCACACCAGTGGTGTTCTGGTGCTAAAAACGCTAACAAGTGGAGGACCCAGGGACGTGTGGAAGTTTGGTGGTTCGGCGAGACCGACAACAGTTGCTGTTGGTCCGAGTCGCGCTGTAGGCCGAGGCGTTTACAGAGCCACCTCACTCGTTTTTTTATCCCCACAATGTATTCATAGCTATGCTATGTTGAAACGATGTTGAGCGGCATGAGAAAAAGTGTTTGAAGCTAGCTTCTTTAGCATTTTTGCCGTTGTAGCTCTTATTTTAGCAAAATACCAACAGCCACATCAGCGTTTGTCCAGTTGGGTATGAACTCGGTAAACGATGCATCTGCTTACTTGTTTGTCCCAAAAGGCCTGTACATTATTCATGAAACAGCATGTTTTGTTGTTATTCTAAGGTTACACCAAGCCCGAGGTGTGTGTACATGAGCTGCCTACTCCGTATACATCACTGTGTGTGTGTGTGTGTGTAGTGATTATGTAAATGGCTCCATCATTCTTGGTGTTTTTTCTCTCTAGTGCTGTTTAATATGTCAGTGCAGATCAGTATTTGGTCTTGCTTTTGTTTCAGTGTCCACAGCGCAGAGTACTACATGCAGGAGGCGAAGAGGCTGAAGCACAAGGCCGATGCGTTGGTGAGGCCCGTGTGTGTGTGTGTGTGTGTGTGTGTGTGTGTGTGTGTGTGTGTGTGTGTGTGTGTGTGTGTGTGTGTGTGTGTGTGTAACAAATTGATTGTGAAAACACACAACCCGGAGAGTCTAGACGGTGATTAGATGCACGCTCGGAGTCTCTGTAGAGCGTGCATCTATTCTGCATCGAGGACTCTGCTGTATAATTCGTGTTATTTATTACACCGTTTGTCTCCGAGGGTTCGTCGCATTCAACGAGTGATGATGTCTGCAAGATTATACAGTATCAAAAGAATTATCGGATCCTTCCCCAACGATGAAATGAGATTTATTTATCTTGTTATTTATCGCATTGTTTACGCATTGTTTCCTCGCGTTTATTGGGGGGATTTGCGTCTTAGTGGGAGATTATTCAGAGAGGGGGGCTGTGCGTCTGGCTCGTATCGCTGCTAACACATCTCTGTTTCTGCCCCGTGGCATTTCATCTCCTCGCTGTCGCCGTCCTCTTTTCTCTCTCCCACCCGGCGCCCACAGATGGACAAGTTTGGCAAAGCGGTGAACTACGCAGACGGCGCCCTGTCATTCATAGAGTGTGGAAACGCCATGGAGCGAGATCCGCTGGAGGCCAAGTCGCCGTACACCATGTACTCCGAGACTGTGGAGCTCATCAGGTACGAGGCTCACTAAGCACCAAGCTTCACGTCCATCAGGGGATGTTCACTGATTCATTCTTCTCTGACCCCATGATCTCCTAGTAGCAGTCAGAAAAACACCCCCCAAGGTCAAAGGTCACATGTCATTCACATCAATATAGGCCCGCTGGTATCTTCAATATAGAGTAAACGTTGATCTGACTTTTTCAATGTCCTATAGCCGTGGTCCCCCCCCCCCCCCCCCCCCCCCCCCCGTGTGTGTGTGTGTGTGAGTCAGATGTGTTTAACTTACCCAGACACACTGAACCATTATTGGCTGAGTACCATTGCACCCGTAGTGCTTCCTTATATAAATATGAATGACTGGTGTGTTGTGAAGCGCCTTGGGGGGTTGCGAGAGGTAGAAGAGCTTTATTGTGGAATTCTTCCCGTGAGGTTTCTCCCGGTACCGCGAGCAAACAAGACACATCCTAACTACGATGTAACAACGGAGAAGGTGAAAGTGGCTTCAAAAACCAAAACTCTTCCTAATACTAAAAATAACAGGGACATGAACAAAATGATGAAATGTGGTGGAAAATGTTTGAAGTGTCGAGAGTCTTTTTGTGCGTAAAAATAAAAATAACTGCAGCTGGAACAGCAGAAGCAAATATAGCATTTTTTCTGCAGAGGTTGTGATTTCCAGTCGGTCCAGAGTGTTTCCTTCGCTCGGATCGATCAGGAGTTACACTTACTTCCTGATTCTGATCACATGTTCTTTACAGGTGTACCTGTTCTAGTTTAACCTGAAAGAGCAGTCACCTCTTTTCCAACCAGCTCAAGCCTCCTAGCCTTTTCTTCCCCCTGTTCTCCGGATTCACTCACTCACAAAGGTCTGTGTCATCTAGGCAGCATTGCATTTCAGGATGCGGGGGTTTGATCCTGTGAGAGCTGCCAGAGTGAGAAGAAAGAGGAGCGCTGGGCTGACAGCGGGGTGGTGGAGTGGGACGAGTCCTTTAAACTCAAGAGCGTCGGTTCAAGATCTCATCCATCCCACTGAAGTGTCCTTCAGCGAGGTGCTGGATCGGCAGCAGCAGTTCGGATCAGTGGTATGACCTCTGACCCCTCACGGGTAAATACCCACTGACAGGAGGGGAGTGTTTCTTCAGTCTGAAGGAGTGACTTCTGATCCTGCTGCGCGTCTCTGACTGATGAACCTCCCGCTGAGGAGAGACGGTTCATTAGATCACAACAGGAAGCTGAACCCAACTCTGTTTTAGACACAAATAACCAGAGGAGAGCATCTGGCTTCTTCTGGGTTAGATCGTGCTGACCTGCAGCTCGTTGAGCTCGAGGCCATTTTCAGCTGCCAGGATTCTGTCTGCCAGCTCTCTGTAGTCACGAAGAACACAACTCTTTGTTCTTATTTGTAAAAACTCACTTATTTTTTATTATTAATCTATTAAAGCTGGGTTGTGTCTGCAGGTACGCCATGAGACTGAAGAACTTCAGCAGCCATTCAGCCACCATCTTTGAGAAGAGGCTGGCTGTGCTGTGGTATGTATTCATGTCATTTATCGTGTGTGTGTGTGTGTGTGTGTGCGCGCGCGTGCATGTGTGTGTGTGTGACTTTTATCTTTATATCTAGTTCATTTGGTCTGTAGCCCTAACCCCGCCCACAGAGGGTTCCTGACCCCAGCTTGGTGGTTCACGTCACCATGGTAACAGACGCTGAGTTCAGGGTTTGCATCTAAGAAGCTAAACTTGATCATTTACCATTTTTCTAATTACTTCCATGTAGAAATGATATTTCTGACAAGTCCAGGGCGATTGCTGACGATGGATTCTAAATCTAAATAAGAAATAATTTCACAAATTTTATTCAGTTTTTACTGTATCCTAATTGACTTAATTTTATTTAAATTTACTTGACTTTACCTGAATTTGTTACTTCACCTTATTATGATTTACCTGTATATAAATGTGTATCATTTTTATTTGACGTACAGTTGAATTCACTCACAATCCTAATTCCTGTTGTCATTCATACCAAAAGCAGGGAAACCATAATGGGAAGCGAGTATCATCTGCTGAGAGGTTGTTGAACTGGGATTATCAGGCTTAATTCACTAGAACCGCAGAACCTGAGAATATCTAATAGATGTAGATTAATTAGATTAGGACACGAGGTGATGTCTTGCTCTAATTGTGAGGTTTCCTTCACTTTCCTTTTAATTAATTCCATTTCTTATTAACTAATAGTGACAAATTTATTATATTTTTATCCCTTTTTGGAGTTAGATTAGAGAATCTTTACATTGTATTACAACATTTTATTATTATTAGTCTGTCTGGGTTGAGGTTGTTGTGTTTGTGTCATCATTATGAAGAAGAGATGCTTTTCTTTTATCTGGTTGTGTTACACACACACACACACACACACACACACACGGCCCTGCAGCGTCCTTTTGAAGTCAGGGGTGTGTTCTGTGTGGATAACATGAAACTAAATATTAAGGATGGAGCTCTGAGAGGAACTTGTCCAGCGGATTCATCTGCCTCCTAATGCTTGTGTTTCCATAGCAACCGCTGTCTGTCTCTGCTGTATCTGAGGATGTTCCATCTGAAGAAAGACCACGCTGTCAAGTACTCACGGTCGCTCATGGAGTACTTTAAGGTGACGCACACACTCACACACGCACATTTGGACACAGACTTCGTTCCCTGACATCCTTCCAAAACATTTGATTTTCGTTTCCACGGTTCCTCACATTCAGTTTGTGTGACATTATTAATTCCGTTCTTTTTTCTTTAATAATAATGTGCTAATTAGCTCCATCAATCATCTCAGTGGATTGTTGGGCTTTAATGTGCTTGTTTTGATTAATTATGTTTAGTTTAATTAATTACCAAGGGTGTCATTATCACAGTTCTGCATTTGCGCTGATGGGATTGGGTTTCTGGGAAGCGGCTGACGGGGTTTAGCTGCGCGTGTGTGCTCAGGCTGTTGACATACGGGATGTGTTGACAGAAAGTCACAACAGTTTTATTTTTATTTTCTCCAGCTCACAGGAAACGTTTGCTCTGCTCTGTGTAAAGCTGGGTGGGCTTCACAAAACGTGTTTCAGATCTATGGCTCCAATGTAAAGTGAAGTAATAATAAAACATGTAATTTGACACATTTAGCTCCTCATCACAGTGAAAGGTCAGTTGCTTTTTTCTGCTCCACGTAGGAAAATACAATATCATGTCTAAATGTTTGCTTTCTTTTAACGTTGAAAATTGTTATATTAATAAATAAAATGAAGAAGTTTCAACTCAGGGCTGAAATCTGAATAGGAATGTTGTTTTTAAGTAAATATTTAGGTAAAGTGAAAATCTTTAAAGAGCAAGTCACCCCCTACCAGAGTCTAACTCCACTCCCACATCCTGTTTGAAAAATGCAACAAATGCCGTTGCCTAGCAGACCGAGAGGGCGGAGCCGCTAACAAATACACACACACAGGTTCACGACAGCATTGTGACATCATAATGTACCAGTTTACATCATAGCATACCTCTTAGCCAATAGCGGTGGCAGATTTAAATTCAAATACAGTGCAGAGTTTTGACCTGACAACGGCACAACACTGACAGTCTTAAGCAAAATATTTAAATTTTAACTAAGATGCACTGAAATGCCAAATTATTGACGACACGTGTCTGCAGCACGATTAGACACTCGTTTATTTAGTTTATCAGCAAAAAAAAGGTGATTTGGGGGTGACTTGCTCTTTAACTAAATATTTCATATACAGGTGCTGGCCAGTAAATTAGAATATCATCAAAAGGTTGAAAATATTTCAGTAATTCCATTCAAAACGTGAAACTTGTACATTATATTCATGCAATGCACACAGACCAATGTATTTCCAATGTTCATTACATTTAAATTTGATATTTATAGGTGACAACCAATGAAAACATCAAATCTGGTATCTCAGAAAATTAGAATATTCTAAAGGCCAATGAAAAAATGTTTGTTTCTCTAATGTTGGCCAACTGAAAAGAATGAACATGAAAAGAATGTGCATGTATAGCACTCAATACTTAGTCGGGGCTCCTTTTGCCTCAATAACTGCAGTAATGCGGCGTGGCATGGACTCGATCAGTCTGTGGCACTGCTCAGGTGTTATGAGAGCCCAGGTTGCTCTGATAGTCGTCTTCAGCTCCTCTGCATTGTTGGGTCTAGCGTATTGCATCCTCCGCTTCACAATACCCCATAGATTTTCTATGGGGTTAAGGTCAGGCGAGTTTGCTGGCCAATCAAGGACAGGGATACCATGGTCCTTGAACCAGGTGCTGGTGGTTTTGGCACTGTGTGCAGGTGCCAAGTCCTGTTGAAAGGTGAAGTCTGCATCCCCATAAAGTTGGTCAGCAGCAGGAAGCATGAAGTGCTCTAAAACTTCCTGGTAGACGGCTGCATTGACCCTGGACCTCAGGAAACAGAGTGGGCCAACACCGGCAGATGACATGGCACCCCACACCATCACTGACGGTGGAAACTTTACACTGGACCTCATGCAACGTGGATTCTGTGCTTCTCCGCTCTTCCTCCAGACTCTGGGTCCTTGATTTCCAAAGGAAATGCAGAACTTGCTTTCATCAGAAAACATAACTTTGGACCACTCAGCATCAGTCCAGTCCTTTTTGTCCTTGGCCCAGGCGAGACGCTTCTTGCGCTGTTTCTTGTTCAAGAGTGGCTTGACACACGGAATGCGACAACTGAATCCCATGTCTTTCATGAGTCTCCTCGTGGTGGTTCTTGAAGCGCTGACTCCAGCTGCAGTCCACTCTTTGTGGATCTCCCCCACATTTTTGAATGGGTTTGTCGTCACAATTCTCTGCAGGGTGCGGTTATCCCTAGAGCTTGTACACTTTTTTCTACCACATTTTTTCCGTCCCTTCGCCTGTCTGTTAATGTGCTTGGACACAGAGCTCTGCGAACAGCCAGCTTCTTTAGCAATCACCTTTTGTGTCTTGCCCTCCTTGTGCAAGGTGTCAATGATTGTCTTTTGGACAGCTGTTAAGTCAGAAGTCTTCCCCATGATTGTGGTGCCTTCAAAACAAGACTGAGGGACCTTTTAAAGGCCTTTGCAGGTGTTTTGAGTAAATCAGCTGATTAGAGTGGCAGCAGGTGTCTTCTATATTCAGCCTTTTCAGAATATTCTAATTTTTTGAGATACCAAATTTGGAGTTTTCATTAGTTGTCACTTATGAATATCAAATTTAAATGTAATGAACATTGGAAATACATTGGTCTGTGTGCATTGCATGAATATAATGTACAAGTTTCACGTTTTGAATGGAATTACTGAAATATTTTCAACCTTTTGATGATATTCTAATTTACTGGCCAGCACCTGTATGGAATGCTAATGAAGTAGTTTTGAAGTTGAATGTGTTGTTCCTTTATAATCAGCACCCTACACACATCTGGACCCCTGAACTCTCATTACTACCAAGTCATGTTTTCAAAGTGTGTGGGTCCAGAACGTCCATGTTTGGTTCAGCATGAGCAGAACCTTCACCAGCACACATCTCCGTAACAAACCACACACAGACTTTGTGAATCGGTGCTGATGAGAGACCAGATGGCTTCTCTCTTGTGGTTCTCTGCTGTGTTTGCAGCACATTTTGACTCACTGAGCTCCTTTTCAGAGCATTTTTATTGAGATTGGGCAAAAAACAAAGCAGATTTTCTGATTTCCACAAAAATATTTTTGCGCAATGAATGAATCTAAAATCTAAAAAAAAAAAAAAGTTTATACCGAAAAGTTTGTATTCCCAATTTTTATGAACTTGACTTTAAACATTTTATTTGATATTTTCTTTATTTCAGTTATTCTTGCATTTGCTCTGAAATTATTGTATTTTGCCTAATTTTTCCCAACAATGAAAAACAAAACAAAAATTACATTTCTTTAGTATTTAATGAGCTTTCTGCCTTATTTTAAAAAGGTTTAGGCAATGGTAACACCTGCGTAAAGATTCTGTTCCTGGACCTTAGCTCAGATTTTACCTCTGAGACCTCGTGAAGCGGTCCAGAAGCTGGAAACTAAACTTCAGGATGTCAGATTGGGGGGCCCCACCAATCTCAGCCTAAATTCGGGATGCCACAGGGGTGCGTCCTTAGCCCCATTGTTTAACCCCCTAAGTACACATGACTCCTCCCACATTCACACTGGCATCGTCATCATTAATTCACTGATGACATCACTATAATAGGGCTGATCATGACCAGAGTTGCCAGATTGGACCGTTTTTTGCCAATTTTTCTGGTTACATTTCTTTTGGGGGAGTTTTGGAGTCAATCGTGTAGATTTAAGCTAACCTTATTTCAACCAATCACCATTGTTAGGTAGTAGCAGTGCCCCCTGACCTGCCTCCAACACCGATGTTGCCATCGTGCTACAGGTCACTCAGGTCAAAACCCAACAGGCTCAAAAAATATTTTATCAGGCAGTCATGTATACAGACCCCCCCCCCCCCCCCCCCAACACACACACACACACCACTCTTCACACATATATGAGACGGTGCAATAGAACTATTCTCTGAAATCAATCGGTGCAATATTTGTTAAATTCTGTATATGTTCAAGCTTATTTGTGCACATTTATCATTAAATTATTATAATATCACTTTATAGCAAATAATGCAGCATTTACTCTGAAAGCTTTTTACATAACCCTGCATATGTGCATGTAGACTGACTACTTTTCACTGTAATAAAACTCTTTTATTGTCCCTTTAGCAGTGACTGATTAATCTTATTATTCACGTTCATGAGTTCTGATTGGACACTGAGCTCCTCTACAGTCACAACGGTTCCAACTCATTCAGTTTCATCTGATTTTAAGCATATGAAATATATTTTATTGCAATTTAGTATGTCTACCTAGTCGCCAACAGCCTGAGACCAGTCGGATAGAGGTCTTCCTGTACTAACCTGTTTGTTGTAGTATTTCTTTACTCTGGGAAGAGTCTGACTGAACTGTTTCTGCCTCCACTCAGCCACAGACTGCGCTGTTTACTAAATCTGTGCTTTTGTGCTCAGAATTCAGCAAAGAGTTCCCACCAAGCCCCGTCTCCCTGGAGGACCAATGGAAAGTGAGTTACCACACACACACACACACACACACACACACACACACACCTGAAGCACCAGCCCTTCCCTTCACCTGGATAATTGAGAATTTATAATTCACCGGAGCTCTGCTGCGGCATGCCAAGCCTCCCCTGACAGCCACTTGCTCAAACAAACCCCTCAGGAAGCAAATAAAGGGATTGATTTGTTGTAGATGTGAGGAGGAGAAGACCAGAGGGGCTGCCGAGATGAGGAGTGATGGAGGGAGTGATGATGGATGGAGGAGGAGAGGCGTGGAGGAGATGAGGATGTGAAACTAATGAGTTTGGACAGCTTGGATGCTGTGCAGCAGCAAGACTTAGGCTTGTGTGTGTGTGTGTGTGTGTGTGTGTGTGTGTGTGTGTGTGTGTGTGTGTGTGGTGTGTGTGTGTGTGTGTGTGTGTGTGTGTGTGGCACTGAAGAAGATACAAAATGTGGGTCATCAAAGGTCAAGGCCACATCCCAGACATGACATCACTGCCATAGACTCCCACCCAGCGGTGTGAGACAGAACATGTTTCTGACGTGTTTGGAGTCTCTGGCTGCTGAAAAGATGAATTTTCTTTATAACCAAGAAGCCACACTGTGTATATAAATACATACATATAATGTGTATATAAATACATACATATAATGTGTATATAAATACATACATATAATGTGTATATAAATACATACATATAATGTGTATATAAATACATACATATAATGTGTATATACATACATACATATAATGTGTATATACATACATACATATAATACATATGACATACAGCGGTGTGGAAAAAAGATAACACACGTAAACACAAAATGCAGTGTTGAAATGATGGTTTTTATTATTTAGGGAGAGAACTAAATCCAGACCTACATTGCCCTGTGTGATTAAGTAATTGCCCCCCTTGTTAAAAAATAACCCAACTGTGGTGTTTCACACCTGAGTTCAATTTCTGTAGCCACCCCCAAGCCTGATTACTTCCACACCTGTTTCAATCAGGAAATCACTTAAATATAAGCTGCCTGACACAGAGAAGTGGACCAAAAGCACCTCAGAAGCTAGACATCACGCCAAGATCCAAAGAAATTCAAGAACAAATGAGAACAAAAGTAATTGAGATCAGTCTGGTAAAGGTTATAAAGCCATTTCTAAAGCTTTGGGACTCCAGCGAACCACAGTGGGAGCCATCATCCACACATGGCAACAACATGGAACAGTGGTGAACCTTCCCAGGAGTGGGCGGCCGACCAACATTACCCCAAGAGAGCAGAGACAACTCATCTGAGAGGTCACCGAAGACCCCAGGACAGCTTCTAAAGAACTGCAGGCCTCACTTGCCTCAATGAAGGTCAAAGTTCATGACTCCACCATCAGAGAGAGACTGGGCAAAAATGGCCTGCATGGCAGATTTCCAAGACGCAAACCACTGTTAAGCAAAGAGAACATCAGGGCTCGTCTCAGTTTTGCTAAGAAACATCTCAATGATTGCCAAGACTTTTGGGGAAATACCTCGTGGACTGAAGAGACAAGTTGAACTTTTTGTCCCGTTCCATCTGGCGTAGAAGTAACACAGCATTTCAGACAAAGAACATCATACCAACAGTAAAACATGGTGGTGGTAGTGTGATGGTCTGGGGTTGTGTTGCTGCTGCAGGAACCGGAAGGCTTGCTGTGATAAATGGAACCATGAATTCTACCGTCTACCAAAACATCCTGAAGGAGAATGTCCGGCCATCTGTTGGTCAGCTAAAGCTGAAGCCATCTTGGGTGCTGCAGCAGGACAACGACCCAAAACACACCAGCAAATCCACCTCTGAATGGCTGAAGAACAACAAAATGAAGACTTTGGAGTGGCCTAGTCCAAGTCCTGACCTGACTCCTACTGAGATGCTATGGCATGACCTGAAAAAGGCGGTTCACGCTAGAAAACCCTCAAATAAAGCTGAATTACAACAATTCTGCAAAGATGAGCGGGCCAAAATTCCTCCAGAGTGCTGTAAAAGACTCGTAGCAAGTTATCGCAAACACTTGATTGCAGTTGTTGCTGCTAAGGGACGCCCAACCAGTTATTAGGTTCAGGTGCAATTACTTAATCACACAGGGCAACGTAGGTTTGGATTTAGTTCTCTCCCTAAATAATAAAAACCATCATTTCTAAACTGCATTTTGTGTTTACTTGTGTTATCTTTGACTAACGGTTAAATGTGTTTGATGATCAGAAACGTTTTGTGTGACAAACATGCAAAAGAATAAGAAATCAGGAAGGGGGCAGATAGTTTTTCACACCACTGTATTACACATTTAATACATGCAACACATTTTGTTATAACTCAAACATCCGTCCAGCCTGCAGACTCTCAGGGACTTCTGTGTCTTCCAGGGTCAACGGGACTCCATCACCCCTGGCACTCAGCCCGTCTCCGGCCAGCAGCGGTGGACTAGCAGCAGCAACAGCGGGAGGAGGGGGGGTGGGTGCATCGGGGTCATCAGGGTCATCAGGTAGTGTGGCAATTCCCCACCGGATTCACCACATGGCTGCCAGTCATGTTAACATCACCAACAACATCCTGAGGAGCTACGAGCACTGGGAGACGGCCGATAGGCTGGCTGCTGACAGCAGAGGTGAAACTCACACACACACACACACACACACACACACTCCTATATTATTCCACCTTCTCAAACTGCGAGAAATGACCCGTTTAAAATGTAAAATTAATGAATGAATAATTAATTAAACACTTCTGACACGTAAAACAGTATTTGAGTGAATAAAATGATTCATATACCTATTTTCTGTGTAATTAGATAATAATGATTTCTCCAGAGGGCGGATGTTCCACCTGCACCACGGGAGAGAAACAAAGACGATGCAGTTCGCAAGAATAAACTCGAAATGTTATCATTTTGTTTTTATTTAAATGTTTAGTCAAATTTGGACATGTTATTTTCAGATCAAAGTGCAAATGTTGACAAAAGACTGAACTATAAATATTGAGGTATTTTATGGACACTTTATTCCTTCACAATAAGAGTCTCAAACACACTTGTACCGGAAAACATCAGAAGCTTATGAATTAGGTCATTTTTACTTACTGTTCTCAGCCAAATCTCAGAGGAAATAATTATTAAGATGTTTAATAGGCTTGTTTATTTATAGTTTCCTCTGAAAACACAACCAGAACTCTCCGTTACAACAATAAAGAAACCAGAACAAATACAGTCAGCCTCAGGAGCAAAATGAGGTTTGCTTCCAGCGTTTAACCTTTACTGTCCTTGTGTTGTTTCCTCCAGCGTGGCACAAACGTTTAGGACTACACACGGCAGGTTTTTGAGGAGATACTGATCCTATTAAAGAGGTGTGCTATGTTTCAGCAGCAGTCACCTTCAGCTCCTCTTTCTCTTCTGCAGACTTCTTCCAGGACCTGGACTCAGCCACCAGACCGCTGAGTCAGCAGAGCAGCATGACCGAGCTGGTGCGCTACATCAGACAGGGACTGCACTGGCTTCGCATGGAGGCTCAGCTGTTGTAAAGACTGGAGCAAGCGTCCAATGAAACCAAATAAGGAAATGTTGGTGGAGGGTCGAGGAACTAGAGCCGGAGGAGGCCCATGACAATGCCTCACCACCTGCTGAAATCCTTCAAATGATCCAACACCGTGACGGGTCATTAGTGGGTTAAAATTCACCTGTAGTTCGAACCAAACCTTGTCTGAGTCTGGAGGCTCATCAGCCTCAGCAGATGCTCAGGAGCAGGAGTAGGACTGGAGTTAAAGCCTCAGGCTCATGTTGATCCAGCTGGATCAGTAGAGGTCCAGGGGCCGTGGCCCCTCAGGCTGGAGTCCTCCCCACCCCCTCCAGACACCACCCACCAGAGGTGTGCACACCTGGATTATGATTGCAGTCACAATATTCAAAGTGCCACAGCTTCTTAGATTAATGACGTTTTCAGAGTTTTACTATCTGAAATGTAAGAAAAAGTTTTATTAGAGGAGTTCAGCCTGAAGCCAAAAGACCACAATGTCCGATTTTACTGCTTATTGGTGATTAATAAACACTAAATAGGATTTGTTTAGAAGGAGAAACTGAATGATTGGAAAGCACAAAGCAGTAGAGAGGAATGGATTAATGGCATTGTTATCACATTGATAACCTTAAAAAAGAGACGTACTGGTGCTAAAACCAGTGTCTCTCTCTGGCTGCTGGGGACAAATAGGAGACACTAAACTGAGAAAAAATACAGACATTTTCAGATGGAATCACAAGGAGTTGGTGCCTAAAACCGTTATGTTACAACTCTGAGTATTGTAACATGTTCTCATGAACAAAATTGTCAAATTTGGAGTTGGATTTGTCCCTACATCTCCCAAAACTGTCTCACTCTCCTCCCAAAACTGTCTCACAGTACTCCTGAAGTTTTCTCACAGTCCACTCGATGCTGTCTCATGGTCCTCCCAACGCTGTCTTATAGTACTCCCAAAGCTGTCTCACAGCACTCCCAAAGCTGTCTCAAAGTCCTCCTGAAGCTTTCTCACAGTCCACTCGATGCTGTCTCACAGTCCTCCCAAAGCTGTCTTATAGTTCTCCCAAAGCTGTCTCACTCTCCTCCCAAAACTTTCTCACTTTCCACCCAAAGCTGTCTCACAATCCTCCTGAAATTTTCTCACAGTCCACTTGATGTTGTCTCACAGTTCTCCCAAAGCTGTCTCAAAGTCCTCCTGAAACTTTCTCACAGTTCACTCGATGCTGTCTGACGGTCCTCCTAAATCTCTCTTGTAGTTCTCCCAAAGCTGTCTCAATGTCCTCCCAAAGCTGTCTCACAGTACACCCAAAGATTGCTCTGACCCTTCCAAATGTTATCTTACAGTCAAAGCCTTCTCCAACATCTCCCAAAGCTGTCTCAAAGACTCCCATAGCTGTGTCACAGTCCTCCCATTGCTGTCTCACATTTGTCTCAAAGCTGACTCACAGTTCTCCCAAAGCTGTCTCCAACCCCTCCTAAATCTATATCCCTTTTTCCTCCAAAAGTTTTCTCACATGTCTTCCGCTTTCTGCCTCAGAAAAGAAAGTGAGAACAACTCTAGCTCACCAACAGCTGCATTTAGGTGAAAACCTGACTTTGGAAGCTAGTTTTCTGGATAAATATAATAAAAAGTTACATTTTTTATGAGGTTGACATGACTGTTTTTGGGGAGGAGGTGAGGCTTCCTTCAGAGGAGAGATGTCCAAATATCAGGGAATAAGACTCCAAATTCTGCCATCTGAAACTCAACTCTGATGAGGCAATCTCCTAGTTCCTGAAACAGATGCACCGGAGCTTTTTTCCCCAGAGTATGACCTACAAGGTATTCATTCCTACTAGAGATTGCTGCAAATGTATCGATTAAATGAGTATTCCACCTTTAAAAACACTCAAACATCAGTCAGCTCCTGTTATGTGTGAGCCGTTTGTTCTTAAGTCAAAGCAAAAGTGAAACTAACTTAGAGATTTCAACACCGTTTTAGGTCTCCAGCCCTCCTCCAGCTCCTGATGAAAGCAGCGCTTTCCCCTCTGGCCCAACAAAGCGCTGGTTTTTATAGCCAGATTATATCAGTGGTGGAACCAGAAAGAGCTCTGGCTCTGGTTTAGCACTGGGACCAGTTTGGTGTTTGAACTAAAGCTGAACCACGCTCTCTCCATCTTTATTTCATGGTTGAAATGTTAAAATATGTGGAGTAGACAGAAGTGAGCGATCCAGACAGGAAGTTCTGGGTTGGAACGCTGACGCAGATTATTTTTAATCTTCACTTAAAAAACAAACTGACTTTTTAAAAAATGGTTTAAAGTGGAAAAAATGTGAACATTTCCTACATTAGGACTGATTTCTATCAACTGCGTCTTTCTTGTCCTCCTCTTCCTGTATGGGCTGCTCAGATCTAGTTCTCACTAAGGTGTCAAACACTTACATGATGGGGGGGTACTAAAAGTTTGGGTACAATTTGGCTCTATTTAGGCCCCACCCACATGCTGGACAAGGTAACGCTGACGTCTGATCCGGCGCTCCGATGTCAAAGTAACCCTGTCACTTTGTACAGATCAGATCGTCTGCCGGGTCTCCTTTAGCTGTGTTGTTGGTGTGTATATGTGTACAGCTGATTGTCTAGTCTATCTAAATCATTTCTGAACAACCATGATGTTTGTGTACCATAATGTACAGATTGTGACTCGCTGTATGTTTGTTTTTGGTTTTTTGATTGTCATGTGAATGATTGGAATGAGGAAGTGAAGCGAGTTAATTTGGTATTGATGAATACGTGTGTGTGTGTGTGTGTGTGTGTGTGTGTGTGTGTGTGTGTGTGTGTGTGTGTGTGTGTGTGTGTCCATGGCTGCATTTACACAGAACCAAAGCTGAGGTGATTTTGAACTCTTTGTGGTGCATTTACAAGCAGACCCACCATTTCCGTGTGGTTTCTCCTCTGTTGCTCTTTGTGCTACAAAAGCCTAAAATCTGCTTGTGCTGCTTCCAGTAAATCAGCCCATCCAGCATGAGATTTACACGTTTGGAGTCACGTCGCCATCGCTGAATGTGTGTGGAAGACCACATGGATGTGGAAAGTAATTTTTACTTTACCATAAAAAAAGAACGAAAGAAACTTAAGTGCCTCTAATTGCGTCCAGTTGGAATTGCTCTATTTATTTAAAGAAACAAAGAATGGGTTGAACAAAATTTCATACCATATTGGTATAAATATGAGATTGTTTTTCGTAAAATCAGATGTCTCCATAAGCTTTTTACTGGCGTTAATGACGATGCCAGGGGTTGGCTTTAAGACTCGAAGCAACGAGTGATTAAACGTGTTGAATTAGCGTCACTTGCTGTATTTTTCTTTTCTTGATGATTTGAACAAGTTTCAGTTTGTCTGAAATGCCTGAAACTTTAAAATCATTGCATGCAATAAACAGTAGCTTCAGACCAACAACTGCTTGTGTCCATTTCAAGAAAGAAAAACAAAATCTGTCTCTTTTTTTTTGTCTATCCTGATTCCATCAGCGTATGAATGTTTGACCTGAGGAGAGCTGTATGCTAGCAGGAACAGTCAGGAACCCTGAAGACAAGTTGAGGGTCTATCTACTGCTTCCTCTCAGCTGAGGGTAAAACGACTCCTTTTACCTTCCACGCTAACAAAGTTAGCCAAATTTAGCATTCAGTTCAGCAGGCGGCCACTCAGGCTCTGGCCTTAGCTAACAGAATCTGTGCACCAGTACATGCTAACAAACACTCTGGACTCTGTAGTGTGTGATAATAAAAGCTAAGCAGGCGTTTCCACCCGATGCATAAGCGTTGCGTGACGTTTGTGAAACGTAGCACGCAGCAGTTAGCCGCGGTTAGTGGATGGGCGCATTTCCACAGACTGCAAGGTTTAGAACTGGCCCAGAAGCGTAGGTATGGGTTGAGCTTTGAGTGTATATTTTATTCGCTCCCACAGTCCTAAGATCAGCTGTTCAGACTGGGCCAGGCAGGAAGTCTAACACAAGAGCAGTGTAAAGCATCTGGAAACTTTCAAAATAAAAGTCACATTCACATTTCCAATTGCTGAGCTAGTAAAAAAAAAGTTCCTGATTTCCTGTGAATCCTTCATAATGGAGGTAAACAGAACAGAAAATAACTCTCAGACCTTTTAGGATATGTGCTGCCATCACGATAACTTCTGAAATCACGCATGGTGTTGCAATACTCTGGTGATTTTGTGACCTCGCATGACCAAAAGTGTGACATGCTTTGGATGTGATTTAGCTTCTAAAACACTCCAGGTGGGATGGGAACCCACAGGTAAAATGTCCTGTATTTCATATGGTGCCTTCTGGAGTTTCAGAACCCCCCAAGGTGCTTTACAATACAATCATTCACCCGTTCTCACATGCATTCCCTCCCTGGTGGTGATGAGCTGCAGTGTAGCTACAGCTGCCCTGGGGGAGAAAACCTCAACCCTCTGATTGCCGGACAACCCGCTAAAACGCGTCTATTACATTACGCGCCGCTCATGCACCTAGTGGAAAGTCTCGGTAATGCTCCATCTTCCATTTTACTATTACAGCTAGTTAAGGACTTACGGAAAAACAAAAAGAAGAACAAACATGTGTTTTTGAGATTAAAGTCTAAATATTGGAAGAATAAGTTAAAAACTGTTTCCAGAATAAATTGGCGGTGTGTATTTTCCCCTGGTGATAGGGGGCAGTACATATTAGCAAGCAGTACTTTTGTGTTCGAGAAGGACCTTACCAACGGATGGCCATTAGGGTGAAAAATCCCCGGGGTTCTAACGAGTACTTCCTCATATCGTTCAACCTCCAGCAAAATGACGAGCACATCAAACTGCTTTTCATCACTGGCAACGAGCGAAGAGGCAAATGTGTAAAACAACAACGACAACCCAGCTTGTCGGATCCTCTTAAACAAAAATGTGTTTATTTTTACTGGTTTTCTGTAAAACCCACACTAATACTGCAGCTTTGATGCAGTTCCAAGTGCAAAAGTATTATGTTAATATTAAAAGCTACAACATGACAAAAGACACATAGATATTTGTGCCAGCGCTGCTAAACGTTTTGATTCTTTTAATCTCAAAATAGATTTTCTATATTTTAACTTTTTTAAACCCTTACCCATTTTCTCACTACTTTTGTTTTGAGCTTTTTGACTTTCATCCCAAACTGGGTAATCAACAGAATCTGGGCCCTGAAACACATCAGAAAACCCTGCGTTAGCATGATCCTGCTACCAATCAGGCAAGCATTCAGAAACCGGACCAACTCTGGAGTGTTAGAACTTCCCTAAGCCCAAGAAGCATGGAGTAGTGTAACTTGGTGATGAACAGAAAAGGACTAGCTGTTTGTTGTTTATGCTATAAGCTAAGCTAGCCAGCTATGCTACTTGCGTCATGTTTCCCACCTGCCGGATGCACAGTTCTGAGAATGTTTGCCTGGAGAGAAGAAACTCAGAGCCCACTTTGTCCCGGTTTACACAACGAGATAATGCCAACTCCTCCCTGATTACACTCTAAAGATAATCTTCGCAGATATTCCTGCCATGTGTGGTGTGTTAAGAGTGATCTGGAGGGACTGATCGGAGGCACAACTGGATTGCTCCGATCATAAATCGAGGATATTCAAAATGTTGGATTGTCTTGGTCTGATTTCGATGACAAACAAATTTACTTCCTGTTGTGTAGCCAATCAGAAAGTGAGGCTGGAGAACTATGCTCCCTCTCCGCCATGTTTGTTTACTCCAAAGTCAAATTTGATCTTGAGAGGTTTTGCGAGCTTTCCAGTCTGGCTGGGGAATGTTCACCACGCGCTGTAGGACCAAAACCGATCTTTTTTTTATCCCGCCGTGTGAACAGAGCCTTACCAGATGTTAGTAATCACCAATTCCCAGTGATTACCCGGAGAGTCCCAGTTAGCCAAACAAATGTCTCCTCAACCATGTTTCTTTGATCCAGACCAGACCAAACCCTAACCACTTCAACGACGTTTGATGCAGTTTTGTTCTGTGGTGAAAAAAATGCCCGTCTCTGCTGAACTCGTGCTACACATGTGTGTCCTGGAAATACTCCGCGTGGCTCAGTCATACTGCTGGCATCTCATTAGAGATCCCATTAGTTGCTTTTGCATTATCACAGTTGTCAACATATTTATGAAAAGCAGCAAAGCACCAGCGATTACAATGGAAAGCTAAATAGACTGATTGATTTCTGACAGCAGATGGTAGCACGATGATAGTACTGGGATAATCTCTCCAACAGTGATGAGTCTCTCTAAAAGTTATTTGCAATTCATAAAATCACAGATATGCTCTAATTGCTTCGGAGTGCCGAAGCTGCATCCAACTGAAACTTGGAGTGTTACAACGAAAAAGGTTGTTTTCTTTTCATTTTGCTCTTTTCTCAAAGCTTTTCCCTTCCATCGGGATTTTTAATTTTGCTGTTTATGTTTTACAAATGCATGAGTTAATTCTCCTCCTACATGCGGAGTCTGTTTTGTTATCTAGAGGATACCTTCTAGCATCGTGGTTTGTGCTTTGGAAACCATGTTGGATTTTACTACCTTTCACCAATATTTTTATTAAGATTTAATTATAATGAGAAACAATAAAGACTTTCAGGGGGAACTAATTGTTTTTGCTCATGTTTTTTTGACCTAATATCACAGATATTCTCCTCTAGTAAGTAAGCTTTACCTCTCACAGACAAAAAGGTCACAAAGTGCTTCACAAGTTAAAACAACACACCAAAAGGCTACTATAAAATACAGTCACAATATACATAAAAAGTCGTATACAGCCAATCCGCATACAAAATATGTTTGGAACGCCCGGAGAAACAAATGGGTTTTCAGATTGCTCTTAAAAGCATCAACGGAGTTGAGTGGACGTAAGAACAGAGGTAACTCATTCCAGAGCCTTGGTGCGACGGCCTGGGATGAGCAATCTCCTCGTGTCTTGAATCGAGTACGGGGGACCATAAGAAGATTTTGATCCAACAATCTCAACCTCTAAAGCTCCTCTAAATCCGAAACCATGGTCTTGAGTCTGAAAAAGGTAGAATGTCTTCTCAGGGATGAGGTCCTGCCCCAAGCGAAGGAGTTTAAGTATCTCGGGTTCTTGTTCACGAGTGAGGGAAAGATGGAGCGTGAGCAGTTGTGCTGCATCTGCAGTGATGCGGGCGTTGTACCGGTCTGTCGTGGTGAAGCTCTCGATCTACCGGTCGATCCTACCCTCACCTATGGTCACGAGCTTTGGGTGACCGAAAGAATGAGATCACGGATGCAAGCGGCTGATAAGAGTTTTCTCTGTTGGGTGGCTGAACTCTCCCTTAGAGATAGGGCGAGAAGATCAGCCATCCGGGAGGGGCTCTGAGTAGACCTGCTGCTCCTCCACATCGAGAGGAGCCAGTTGAGGTGGCTCGGGCATCTGGTCAGGATGCCTCCCTGGTGAGGTTTTCTGGGCACGACCAACTGGGAGGAGACCCAGGACATGCTGGAAGGACTATGTCTCTCGGCTGGCCAGGGAGCACCTTCAGGTTCCTCCTGAGGAGTTGACCTAAGAAGGTGGGGAGAGGGAGGTCCCGACCAGGTTCCGGATAAACTGCTGAAAATGGATGGATCACAGATATTTTCAGCAGTGATGAAATGTTCTGATTACCAATCAGATGGGTTGTCTGGTTTTGAGTTGCCAGGATGTAGAAAACACCCAAACAACAGTTTCAGGTTGAGGTTGAGGGTTCATGCGTCGTAAATGTTGTGGAGGAGTAACAGGAGCTGCTGTGGGGTCGATCCTCTCGTTTAATCGACTCCACCGCAATAACAGAATAACGATTCAGGAGGCGCCAAAAACATGTGATCTGGGTGTGAGTGGAGCCCCCTGGTGGACAGCATTACCCTTTGTCCCAACGGCAGCGTAGGCATCGTTCTTTTCTCCTTAGTTTCCCTCAGGAAGACTTTGATTGCGTAGCAGAAACATTTAACGAGTTTTTTTGCTCTACAGCCCCAAACGCTGCCGCAAACCGTCCATGTTTTCGTCCCAAATTACTCTTCTGAAACAATCCTAACGTTCATTTTTGACTCGTGCGTAGCAAGTCTGTGGCGGCCATTTTTCTCCTCATGTGAAACATTGCAGCATCAGATCACAAAGACCTGAAACGGTTCTGATGAGATGGAACAGCAGGTTGATGGTTTTCATTCGTTACGGCAGAGTCCAGCGGGGCCATGTTCTGTACTTCTCAATAAGGTCCAAACTGATTTTCATAGAATGACTGAGATGTGACACCTTAAAGCGCAGCACAAACGACGTCTGATCGCAATAAATGCTGGGACAATGTTCTGATCGGTACGTCCTCTGCGTGTTGGAGCAATAGCTTCCTTTTCTAAAAGTTGTAGCAGCCGGTGTGCTGCAGAGTTGGTGCAGCAGACTGCTCCGCTGACATCATAGCATCATCCAGGGTAAAATGTGGTTAAATCTGAACATTTCAAGGTTCCTGTTAGTGGATCTGATGACATCAGCGTTTTAAAGAACACATGTCCTACATGGTGTTGCACCACTGCAGCTGTTTTCCTGTTCCTCCGTGTTTTGGCCTTTTCTATGGTTCTTTTTTATAATGAAGTTGTTCTATGTGATCAGAAGTTGTGATGCAGTTTTGTTGTTTTTGAATATTTAATGTCTCTGAAATATGGATTAAACTCTCTTTGAACCAGTGATCTGGTCTGCTTTTCCCCCCTCGTGTCCTGCTGATGGAGAAGCTCTTCGTGGAACTAGAAACAATCATGACAGCTGAACTAGAACACAATCACAACGTCAACATACACAAAAAACTCTGATTTATACACACAAGTTGTCTTATTACTAATGAACTATTACTATTAGTACAGCACAGCAACGATCAGGCTGCTTCACACGGTTTGATCCAGTCACTGACTGAAGTGGAGTATTAAAATTCAAGAGGAGAGAGAGAGAGAGAGAGAGAGAGAGAGAGAGAGAGAGAGAGAGAGAGAGATCCCTGTATGGTAGAGGTGCACCTCCAACACTCCCCCAGCTGAAACACACTGAATTTATTCCGTGTGATGTTTCCGTAACGGACTGAGAAACACGGCTAATGGATGATGAGCGCAGATGGCTGCTGTGGACGTCTCCGTGTGGACTGGCGCTGTGATCAAGACGGTTCTGTGAGCAGCCTGGACATACAGACACAAGTCATAAAAAGTTGATCAAACGGGAAAAAGTTCAATTCTTCCAGAATCAGTGAATAAAAAAACTCTCCAGTTGGGTCTTTGACTGAAAGTTATCCGGACTGACTGGAAAAGGTTCAAACGAGTGGTTACGCAGCTGTAGCCGGATTCAGAGCCATGGTCAGAAGGCGCCTCTGGCTTCAGCGGCAGGACTAGTTTCACTGGAGACTCTGACGTGAACAAGGATGATCTGATCGTCCATTTCTCTCTGCTGGCTCTAAGATTTTAGAGATTGTTGGGGTTATTAGGAGCGAACAATTCGTAAGCTTTAACTTACTTTTGGATTCTTCAATAAATTCTGTAAATATGGAACTATTTACTGATTTATTAATTAATTAAGATATTCTTAGATATCTTCGGGGCACCACCCTTTAATTAGAAAGGGAAATGAATCCAAAACTCTTATCAGTCTTTCTTGAAGTTCGTAGAATCCTCGGAGCAGAGACTTCTCTTCGACACAACAAAGCTACTGGACACAAAAATCTGAATTTTATAACATTTAATTAACAATTTGTCAAATGAATAAACAGTGGAATAGATGAATAATAACCGTGTGATATGATTAAAGATGGATGTGTTTGCATGTGATGGAGGATGTATGAATGGGGTCCTTTGTTCTCACAAAGGAGTAGTGTGTGTGTGTGTGTGTGTGTGTGTGTGTGTGTGTGCGTGTGTATGGATTCAAAATGGAGTCTTGAATACAAGATGGCTGACCCCTTTGTCTGGCTAAAGTGTGGGTGGCAACTTGCACTTTAACTTCCAAAGCACTTAGAATCAGTAGTAACTTAACCTTAAATCACTCAAAACATTTCAAAAGATCATGAAACAACACAAAAGATTAATCACAAATTAATATCTTTTAGTTTCAGCCTGGCCATGACAGAAACCATTTTAAGATACCAAACAATGATCAATAAGCAGTTTATTCTTTCAAAATGACCCGAAGGACGAATTGGGAGCGAAAGAGGAAAACACGAAGCTACTTTTTAAGCAATAGACGCGGTTTATTGCTTATTCTGGACTATAGAGGAAACGGAAGAAGGGAAGAATGAGAGAAAGAGATGAGTTTCTGATCACCAAAGCAGCAAGGCGTCCCCAGCTGTTTGAATTGACGGTTCTCCGTTTCGTCCGTCGGCTTGATGGCTTTCTCCGCTGTTTTCGCGTTCTCCGTGAGTATTTCTCCACGGGCTGGACACAAAGAAAACGAAGTTTCTTTTGGGCTGAGTTTGACAACTTACAGCCTCTCTGAGAGCTGGATGAAGTTGCTGCTTTCCTCCGCAGTTCTGTGTCCTCAAACATCAGCTGGAGGGGAGCAGAAACGAGCAGATCAGCGGTCCCGTGGGCTCAACTTGGCACTTAGAGCTTCCGCGTGCTCAAAGAAGTCGGAGCGTCGACAAGCGTGTCCTCACCGCCAGGTATCCTGGGCAAAAGAACGAGGTTTCTTTGTCTTTGCTGAAGATTTATGGTCTTAGTTCGCGGGAAAGCTCCGCTCACTCCCACACAGGCAAAGAATGTGTTTCTGGTATTAGGCGGTGACATCATCCCAATGCTTCCGTGTGCAAAGCATCATGGGAAATGAAGTTTCTTGGCGCTGATGTGATTATTTGCTTTTCAGAGCAATTTAAGCACAGTCATTTTGGAGAAAATCACTGCATAGTAATTTCCTCATGAGGTCAGACCCTCAACATTCCCCCTTTTGGTTTCGGGGATCGCGCCCAAAGCTCGATCGTCGGAAGCACAGATGGGTTTGTTCCTCATGAACGTAGGTCGACTTGATTGTCGGAAGCACAGGTGGGTTTGTCCCTTAGGACGTTGGTCTCCTTGGACGCCTTTGTCTTTGGTCTTTGTCTTGGATCCTGGCGCCTTTGGTCTTTGATCCTGGTCAGGCACAAAGAGGATAGGAAACGGGATAGTCCCCAACGCGCATAACGAGAAGAAGCCACTCACGCAGGTGGTACGCAATGATGATGTCGTCCATGCGAGAGGTAGTAGTGTAGAAGGAGGAAGGTCGGTGGGCGGTTAACTCCACGAAGGGGACCCAAAGGCATCTCACCGCCGGCCATACAGTTCAGTTTATGGAGCACGCGGTGATGTACGAGGTCCATAGTTCGCAAACGCGCATTGACCTAGGTGGTCCCAAGATTCCCCCCTTTTTGGTCCAAAGGGTGGATCAGGACAGTCTTTGGGCTAAAACAAGGACCATAAAACTAAGAGGTACTACAATGTGCTGGTGCGTCAGACAGAGTCATTGACAGACTGAGCTGGGCCGGCACATAACCACTAGTTAATATGTGACCAAGTAAGAAACAAAAATACAGAAAACCCAAAAAAACATATAACATCCAAGAAAATTCATAGCAACCTTGAGGTCTCATAAAATACATTCTTAGGTCATACATTCAGTGTGTAGCTTATAAAGAATGTGACATAATGCAACACTCAGATAAATATGTGAGGTAGACTAAAATGAGAACTACTCTTAGGGTTACAGAATAACAAAGAAAATGTTGCTCACCCCCTTTAGACAGGTGTGGTATATTCGCGCTTGGAGTCTCCCCGAACGCGGTCACGAGGCACACCGTAGGTGAGCAAGTGCATCTTATCTTGGAGTTTCTTAACACGGCTGTAGGCGGAATAAGCAATCACGGCCGTGATGAGCCATCCCATCCCCAGGGCGACCAATGTGCAGATTAAAGTCGTATAATTTGTCAATGTAGCGTCTTGGGCGTCAAAGTAAGTTCACGCGGGGTTTGTGTGAACTTAACAAATTTGGTTCCTTCAATCAGTAATTGTTGGTCAATTTCTAAATCGAAGGCAAAGTTATAACCCTGGAAAGCGTCCATGATCTCAATCTCTGAGTCATGCTGTTCGAGGTTGAGGTGATGGAGTGTCAGGTTTCTAGTTCAAAGTGGAAATGCCTACCGTCCTTTCAAATACCAATGTTCAGCATCGACCTAAACCTATAGATGTGAGGTGTCACAATTATGGGAACATGTAACAGGAAACCGAGTTCTAATTTTTTTTCAACGTGAATGGGAATTGCACTGCCTAGGCTGTACGCTAGGTGGATTTGTGAAAGGTGCACAGTAGAGGGGTAGCAGCTGTCAAGCTATCTTTGAGCAGGTCCAGTGGTACCAAGTACGGGGAAATACGACTTTCAACCAAGCTGTCCAGCGTGGAACTTACTTCCCTGAGCAGGTCCTACATCAAATCTCTCACCACTCGTGTGTACACAATATCCTGATGTATGGTTTCAGACAAAGTCTTGATTGCACGTAGAGATTCATTAATCAGAGCCTAGTGTAGGTACCAGAGTACTCTGTAAGGTTTTAGTAAGTACTTCCTGTTAGCGTTCTAGGAGGAGTTTCTCTTGGTTAGTGAAAATGACGGCGGGGGGGGGGGGGGGGGGGGGGGGCTGGTTCTTTGTCGGTTAGTACATGTTAGTGGGTTAAACGTGCACTTTCCCCCCCTTTCCATTTCCATGCATAGAACTATGTCGAGACTACGTCTACCTCCTGCGGGGAGTCTGGTCTCTGTACCCGCGGGGATGGTTTGACGTAGGGTTTGATTTGGTTTGCATGCACCCATTTGTAGACAGGCTCCTGTCTCGCTTTGGTGATGCGTAACCTGTATGCAACTGGAGAGAGTTTTGCCACGATCTCAAATGGTCCTGACCAGCAGGGCAGGAACTTCTTAGCTTTGCGTGCCGGTTGGGCGAACCGAAAGTAGAATACTTTGTCACCCACCTCGTATTCGCGGCTGGTTGTCTTTTGGTCGTAGTAGGCTTTAGCACCTTCTAAGTTGGTCTCCAGTTTCTTCTGAGCGTGCGCAAACGTAGCTCTGAGGTGTGTTTTCAAGTCTGCCACATACTGATGAGCGGTATAGGCAGTGGCAACACTGACATCCTCTGGGTGATACAGGAGGTGCAGTGGTAGGGTCATCAGTCTGCCGGTCATCATCTCAAAGGGCGTAACCCCCGTGGATCGCTGTGGAGTGGACCGTATGGCCATCAGGACCAGAGGGAGCTTGACGTCCCAGTCCTTCCCAGTGGAGCAGACGTACTTTTTGAGCATAGAGACGACCGTGCGGTTCATCCGTTCGACCTGTCCGGATGACTGTGGGTGATAGGGGAGGTGGAATCTCACTTCCACTCCCAGAAGTTCAAACAGGGACGTCATTACACTGGATGTGAAATGAGTTCCCCGGTCAGAGTCAATGCAGAGTGGAAGTCCCCATCGACTGAAAACGTGGTTAATCAGCAGTACAGCGGTTGTGACGGCTGTATCGTTTGGCGCTGGAAGGCATTCCACCCACTTTGTGAAACTGCAAGTTATAGTTAGCATATATTTGTTTCCTCTTGCCGATTTGGGAACCGGTCCAACCCAGTCGATCTGCAGGTGGGACCAAGGGAAGGTTATTCCCCTGCGTTGCAGTGGTACTCTAGCAAGCGGCTGGGAGGGTTGAAACTGG